CGATTTAAAGCTTGTCCCGGTCCTCTGTTGTGCAAGAAAGATCATTTGCTGTTGTTTAGAAGGCCATAAAGCGAGATGAAAATAATCTTCTTGCATGATCGGTGACAGGCTGGGCCTTGCCGGAGATCGAGTCCGGGACCTCTCGCACCCTAAGCGAGAATCATACCACTAGACCACAAGGCCACGCTCACCGCTTTTCACGTCCTCATGTTCCAGCGACTGCACGAGCTGCGTGCACCCACACACAAGTGCTATTATTGCAGTGTCGAATGCGAACGCATCGCATTGGCACGTTACTGACGCTGACGACTCTTTTCAAACCATTGCGGTGCTTTGTAAGCCGTTACGTCCATCGATCTTGTTGGAGTGCTCGCTTCCTCGCGCACAGCAACAGCTTCGATTTAAACTTGTCCCGGTCCTCTGTTGTGCAAGAAAGATCATTTGCTGTTGTCCAGAAGCCATAAAGCGAGATGCAAATAATCTTCTTGCATGATCGGTGACAGGCTGGGCCTTGCCGGAGATCGAATCCGGGACCTCTCGCACCCTAAGCGAGAATCATACCACTAGACCACAAGGCCACGCTCACCGCTTTTCACGTCCTCATGTTCCAGCGACTGCACGAGCTGCGTGCACCCACACACAAGTGCTATTATTGCAGTGTCGAATGCGAACGCATCGCATTGGCACGTTACTGACGCTGACGACTCTTTTCAAACCATTGCGGTGCTTTGTAAAGCCGTTACGTCCATCGATCTTGTTGGAGTGCTCGCTTCCTCGCGCACAGCAACAGCTTCGATTAAAACTTGTCCCGGTCCTCTGTTGTGCAAGAAAGATCATTTGCTATTGTTTAGAAGCCATAAAGCGAGATGCAAATAATCTTCTTGCATGATCGGTGACAGGCTGGGCCTTGCCGGAGATCGAATCCGGGACCTCTCGCACCCTAAGCGAGAATCATACCACTAGACCACAAGGCCACATTCACCGCTTTTCACGTCCTCATATTCCGCCGACTGCACGAGCTGCGTGCACCCACACACAAGTGCTATTATTGCAGTGTCGAATGCGAACGCATCGTATTGGCACGTTACTGACGCTGACGACTCTTTTCAAACCATTGCGGTGCTTTGTAAGCCGTTACGTCCATCGATCTTGTTGGAGTGCTCGCTTCCTCGCGCACAGCAACAGCTTCGATTAAAACTTGTCCCGGTCCTCTGTTGTGCAAGAAAGATCATTTGCTGTTGTCCAGAAGCCATAAAGCGAGATGCAAATAATCTTCTTGCATGATCGGTGACAGGCTGGGCCTTGCCGGAGATCGAGTCCGGGACCTCTCGCACCCTAATCGAGAATCATACCACTAGACCACAAGGCCACGCTCACCGCTTTTCACGTCCTCATGTTCCGCCGACTGCACGAGCTGCGTGCACCCACACACACGTGCTATTATTGCAGTGTCGAATGCGAACGCATCGCATTGGCACGTTACTGACGCTGACGACTCTTTTTCAAACCATTGCGGTGCTTGTAAGCCGTTACGTCCATCGATCTTGTTGGAGTGCTCGCTTCCTCGCGCACAGCAACAGCTTCGATTAAAACTTGTCCCGGTCCTCTGTTGTGCAAGAAAGATCATTTGCTGTTGTTTAGAAGCCATAAAGCGAGATGCAAATATCTTCTTGCATGATCATGACAGGCTGGGCCTTGCAGGAGATCGAATCCAGGACCTCTCGCACCCTAAGCGAGAATCATACCACTAGACTACAAGGCCACGCTCACCGCTTTTCACGTCCTCATGTTCCAGCGACTGCACGAGCTGCGATGCACCCGCACACAAGTGCTATTATTGCAGTGTCGAATGCGAACGCATCGCATTGGCACGTTACTGACGCTGACGACTCTTTTCAAACCATTGCGGTGCTTTGTAAGCCGTTACGTCCATCGATCTTGTTCGAGTGCTCGCTTCCTCGCGCACAGCAACAGCTTCGATTAAAACTTGTCCCGGTCCTCTGTTGTGCAAGAAAGATCATTTGCTGTTGTCCAGAAGCCATAAAGCGAGATGCAAATAATCTTCTTGCATGATCGGTGACAGGCTGGGCCTTGCCGGAGATCGAATCCGGGACCTCTCGCACCCTAAGCGAGAATCATACCACTAGACCACAAGGCCACGCTCACCGCTTTTCACGTCCTCATGTTCCAGCCGACTGCACGGGCTGCGTGCACCCACACACAAGTGCTATTATTGCAGTGTCGAATGCGAACGCATCGCATTGGCACGTTACTGACGCTGACGACTCTTTTCAAACCATTGCGGTGCTTTGTAGCCGTTACGTCCATCGATCTTGTTCGAGTGCTCGCTTCCTCGCGCACAGCAACAGCTTCGATTCAAACTTGTCCTAGGTCCTCTGTTGTGCAAGAAAGATCATTTGCTGTTGTTTAGAAGCCATAAAGCGAGATGCAAATAATCTTCTTGCATGATCGGTGACAGGCTGGGCCTTGCCGGAGATCGAGTACGGGACCTCTCCGCACCCTAAGCGAGAATCATACCACTAGACCACAAGGCCACGCTCACCGCTTTTCGCGTCCTCATGTTCCAGCGACTGCACGAGCTGCGTGCACCCACACACAAGTGCTATTATTGCGGTGTCGAATGCGAACGCATCGCATTGGCACGTTACTGACGCTGACGACTCTTTTCAAACCATTGCGGTGCTTTGTAAGCCGTTGCGTCCATCGATCTTGTTGGAGTGCTCGCTTCCTCGCGCACAGCAACAGCTTCGATTTAAACTTGTCCCGGTCCTCTGTTGTGCAAGAAAGATCATTTGCTATTGTTTAGAAGCCATAAAGCGAGATGACAAATAATCTTCTTGCATGATCGGTGACAGGCTGGGCCTTGCCGGAGATCGAGTACGGGACCTCTCGCACCTAATCGAGAATCATACCACTAGACCACAAGGCCACACTCACCGCTTTTCACGTCCTCATATTCCAGCGACTGCACGAGCTGCGTGCACCCACACACAAGTGCTATTATTAGCAGTGTCGAATGCGAACGCATCGTATTGGCACGTTACTGACGCTGACGACTCTTTTCAAACCATTGCGGTGCTTTGTAAGCCGTTACGTCCATCGATCTTGTTGGAGTGCTCGCTTCCTCGCGCACAGCAAACAGCTTCGATTTAAACTTGTCCCGGTCCTCTGTTGTACCAGAAAGATCATTTGCTATTGTTTAGAAGCCATAAAGCGAGATGCAAAATAATCTTCTTGCATGATCGGTGACAGGCTGGGCCTTGCCGGAGATCGAGTCCGGTTCCTCTCGCACCCTAATCGAGGAATCATACCACTAGACCACAAGGCCACACTCACCCGCTTTTCACGTCCTCATGTTCCAGCTACTGCACGAGGCTGCGTGCACCCACACAAGTGCTATTATTGCAGTGTCGAATGCGAACGCATCGCATTGGCACGGTTACTGACGCTGACGACTCTTTCAAACCATTGCGGTGCTTTGTAAGCCGTTACGTCCATCGATCTTGTTGGATGCTCGCTTCCTCGCGCACAGCAACAGCTTCGATTAAAACTTGTCCCGGTCCTCTGTTGTGCAAGAAAGATCATTTGCTATTGTTTAGAAGCCATAAAGCGGGGTGCAAATCTAATCTTCTTGCATCGATCAGTGACAGGCTGGGCCTTGCCGGAGATCGAAACCGGGACCTCTCACACCCAAAGCGAGAATCATACCACTAGACCACTAGGCCACGCTCACCGCTTTTCACGTCCTCATGTTCCAGCTACTGCACGGGGCTGCGTGCACCCACACACAAGTACTATTATTGCAGTGTCGAATGCGGACGCATCGTTTGGCACGTTACTGACGCTGACGACTCTTTTCAAACCATTGCGGTGCTTGTACATGCCAAAATTACGTCCATCGATCTTGTTGGAGTAACTCGCTTCCTCATGTATTACAACAACAGCTTCGATTAGAAAGCTTGTCCACGGTCCTCTGATTGGCTGCCAAGAAAGATCATTTGCTATTGTTTAGAAGCCATAAAGCCGAGATGCAAATAATCTTCTTGCCTGATCGGTGACAGCTGGGCCTTGCCGGAGATCGAGTCCGGGACCTCTCGCACCCTAAGCGAGAATCATGCCACTAGACCACAAGGCCACGCTCACCGCTTTTCACTCACTCATGGTTCCTTTGACTGCACGGGGCTGCGTGCACCCACACACAAGTGCTGTTTGCAGTGTCGATTGCGAACGCATCGCATTGGCACGTTACTGAGCTGACGACTCTTTTCAAACCATTGCGGTGCTTTGTAAGCCGTTACGTCCATCGATCTTGTTCGAGTGCTCTTTACTCGCGCCCCACTGCAACAGCTTCGGTCACAAAACTTGTCCCAGTCCTCTGTTGTGCAAGAAAGATCATTTTGCTGTTGTTTAGAAGCCATAAAGCGAGATACAAGGAAATAATCTTCTTGCATGATCAGTGACAGGGCTGGGCCTTGCCGGAGATCGAGTACCGGGACCTCTCGCACCCCCGTAAAGCAAGGGAATCATACCACCACTAGACCACCAAGGCCACGCTCACCGCTTTTCACGTCCTCATGTTTTCCAGCTACTGCGCGGGGCTGCGTGCACCTGCCGCTGTGCTTTGTACTTGCGGTGTCGAATGCGGACGCATCGCATTGGCACTTACTGACGCTGACGACTCTCTTTTCAAACCGTTAGCGGTGCTTTGTAAGCCGTTACGTCCATCGATCTTGTTGGAGTACTCGCTTCCTCGCGCACAGCAACAGCTTCGATTAAAACTTGTCCCGGTCCTCTGTTGTACAAGCAAGATCATTTGCTGTTGTTTAGAAGCCATAAAGCGAGATACAAATAATCTTCTTGCGTCCGATCAGTGACCGCGCTGGGCCTTCCGCCGGAGATCGAGATCCAGGACCTCTCGCACCCTAAGCGAGAATCATACCACTAGACCACAAGGCCCGCTCACCGCTTTTCACGTCCTCATGTTCCAGCCACCGACTGCATTGAGGCTGCGTGCACCCACGCACTACCTCGTGCTATTATTGCGGGAGTGTCAGATGCAAACGCATCCGCATTGGCACGTTACTGACGCTGACGACTCTTTTCAGAGCCATTGCGGTGCTTTCTGAAGCCGTTTACGTCCATCGATCTTGTTGGAGTGCCCGCTTCATACGCACACAACAACAACTGAATAAAACTTTCACGGTCCTCTGTTGTACAAGGAAGATCATTTGCTATTGTTTAGAAGCCATAAAGCGAAGGGATGCAAATAATCTTCTTGCACATGATCAGTGACAGGCTGGGCCTGCCGGAGATCAAGATCGGGACCTCTCGCACCCTAAGCGAGAATCAGCTTCCCGCTAGACCACAAGGCCACGCTCACACACCACGTCCTCATGTTCCAGCGACTGCTCGAGCTCGTGCACTCTTACACACAAGTGCTATTATTGCAGTGTCGAATGCGAACGCATCGCATTGGCACGTTACTGACGCTGACGACTCTTTTCAAACCATTGCGGTGCTTTGTAAGCCGTTACGTCCATCGATCTTGTTCGAGTGCTCGCTTTCTCGCGCACAGCAACAGCTTCGGTTCATGCTTGTCCCGGTCCTCTGTTGTGCAAGAAAGATCATTTGCTGTTGTTTAGAAGCCATAAAGCGAGATGAAAATAATCTTCTTGCATGATCGGTGACAGGCTGGGCCTTGCCGGAGATCGAATCCGGGACCTCTCGCACCCTAAGCGAGAATCATACCACTAGACCACAAGGCCACGCTCACCGCTTTTCACGTCCTCATGTTCCAGCTACTGCACGAGCTGCGTGCACCCACACACTCGTGCTATTATTGCAGTGTCGAATGCGAACGCATCGCATTGGCACGTTACTGACGCTGACGACTCTTTTCAAACCATTGCGGTGCTTTGTAAGCCGTTACGTCCATCGATCTTGTTGGGTGCTCGCTTCCTCGCGCACAGCAACAGCTTCGATTAAAACTGTCTTGGTCTCTCTGTTTGACTGGCGGCAGAGATCATTTGCTGTTGTCCAGAAGCCATCAAAGCCCAGAAGTAACATAATCTTCTACGCACCGATCGGCGACAGGCTGGGCCTTGCCAGGAGATCGAATACGGGACCTCTGGCACCCTAAGAGAGAACTCATACCACTAGACCAGCGGCGGCCACGCTCACCGCTTTTCACGTCCTCATGTTCCAGCGACTGCACGAGCTGCTATTATTGTGCGAAT